CTGGTTTAGTGTTGACTCGTGTTTCGTGCTACTTCTCCGGTCCCCTGTGTGACTCCTTGGCTGAGCCACCACTGTATCTGGTGTGTGTGATGTGTGTTTACGTTAGATGTGTGTGTCTGTCTGCCTCTGAGTTTGTCTGCACATATGGTTTATGTGTTGCTCTCTGTTCATTCGTACGCTTTGTGTGCGCGCTTGTTGCAGGCGTGCGTGCACACATGCTTGCTCTTGGCAGCAGATACAGCACGCACACTCATGATGGAGATCATCAGGCATTTCCTGCCGCTAGGGATGTGAGTTTTTTTAGAGGGTGAATTGGGTGGGGGGGGGGGGGGGGGGGGGCAGGCAGGACGGGTGAGATGTGAGTGAGGAAAGAGAGGAGAGGCTAGTGTGAAGGAGAGTGTGAGTGGGTGGGGGGGGCTGAGGGTCTGTATGTAAGTGCGTTAGTTGGACGGAGTGTGTGCGCAGCTACAGCCCAGCCCAGCCTAGAGTTCAGCTCTGAGGGGTGCTGGTGGTAATTTGTGTGCAGGCATGTTGGCCCCAGTAGTTTGATATATGTGTAGAACTTTCCACGCCCCCCCCTTGGCACACTTAGGAAAACTCAAGCTTGCAAACCCAGGTCTGTTGAGTTTGGATCGGCTCTAATTCTACTCTAATTCTAGCTGTTCAGTGTTACTGCCTGTTGGGCTGTATTGCACAGTATAAGTGTATAAGGTATGACCTTATAACTTCAGTTTTTTTCATTAAGTTAAATTCAAACTTATTTGGCTGAGCATTGAGTAAATAGTGAACATTTTCCTCCCACAGTATCAGTTTCAGAGGATGTCTATGTACAGTTTAGTTTGTGCCTATGTTATGAGTGTGTTCAGTAACGCTTCTGAAGTAGAATAAATTGTGTTTTTTTTTCTTGAAATTGCTGTGAAACAACATCAATATGCAAAAACAAGTTTCTGTTTTTTAACTCCATACTAAGAGAGCCATAATTCATGCTAAAGTTGATTTGAGTTCAGTGGCCACTTCAATATGATGCTGTGTGATGTCAGGTAATGTTTAATGTTTCATTGACAAAGTCAAACAGACATTTTCTATCCTGAAAACAACATAAAAACACCTCACAGAAGACTTGAGATGTCACTTAGTCATCAACTGATTTTTTTCCCATTATTTTCTTCTCCGTTTTTTGTATAAAAAGTTGTGCCTTGTTGTGTGTTAAACACATAAGAAAAAAACAACAACTTAAAAACAATTGATGATGCGCTGTACTTCATTTTCAGCATCAAGAGGAAAGTACAAATAAATCGATATTGAGGAATAAAAATAAACCTTGAAATAAAAGGAGAAATTATAAGAAAGCTTTTCGATAAAGCAAAGATCTAGCAAGCCGGGGTTCTTAAGACTGGACTGTCACGCTCGGCCCCCTTTAGTCTGAGTGTGAGGGGGAGGACCAGTCGGCAGGATCTGACTCTGGTTTGTAAGAGGACAGAAGTTCAGATATTATTCTGGGTTCATGCCATCAAGGGTTAAACAAGTCATTTAAAAAAAGCACTCATTAATGTGTGTTCTAGGCTGATGGAGCTGCAGGTTGAGTTAGGGTGGAGGTGGTGTGGAGGAACGAGGCTGGTAGTTGGCTTCTGCTCGGTGTCACTCAGCCTCTGTGGACCCCCCCCCCCTCCCATTTTCCTCTCCTGGCCTCACATACACTTTCTCCATCTCTCCCCCTTTCTCTGTTTTATCCCCTCTTTCCTCTTATCTGTCTAAACCTCTCTGTGGAGCTCCCCCCCTCCTCCCCCTCACCACCTCTCTCTCTCTTTTTCTCCCCTCCATGTCCCCCTCCCTTACACCCCCCCCCCCCCCCATGCTGTTTCGGTGCTGCTGCCTGTCTCTTAGCAACAACTGCACACCCGTTAGAGCTCAGTGAGTGCTTTTACAAACACACCCAGGAAGACACACTTATTACACACACACACACACACACACACACACACACACACACACACACACACACACACACACACACACTTACACGCGCACACACACTCACACACAGGGTCTAGTTCCTCATTGAGGGTTGATGCTGGCAGGCCTGTGAGTCTGCAAGCCTTTGTGGTGTTGAGATAGATGGGGAGAGAATAGATATGCTGTACAGCTCCCATGTACAGGAGGATTGTTCCTCTCTGTGCACGACAGACCAACTGCCCAAACTGGAGAATGACAAGTCCCCCTCTCGGAGTTCTCACTGGCATGTGTGCACATTCACTCTGTGGCGTAATGTGTTCTTGCTTTTCCTGTGCAGATGAGGAATAATCATTCCTCATCTGATCAAACATTTTCAAACAATAGTTATATGAAAGCCTCTCTTTGTGAAACAGATTCAACAGATCATCATGTGGGTGAGCTGTGCTGCCTGTTATCACAAAGACAATACTACGCCACTGACTGTGAAAGCCCCAGAGCCATTCACAGTCAAATGCACCAAAACGCTTTTTGCTACGTATGACGGTGAATATGTGAGAATGGCAACTGATGGATACCGGGAATGTTTGCTTAAACAAGAAGCATAGAGGGAGCGTTTGATTGGCTGGTATCTAACCTCTGTCAGAATGCCCCCCTGCTGAGCACAGTAGAAGGATATTTGCATGTGTGTCTTTGTTTTCTGTGTGTTGTGTGTGTGTGTGTGTGTGTGTGTGTGTGTGTTGTGTGTGTGTGTGTGTGTGTGTGTGTGTGTGTGTGTGTGTGTGTGTGTGTGTGTGTGTGTGTGTGTGTGTGTGTGTGTGTGTGTGTGTGTGTGTGTTGTGTGTGTGTGTGTGTGTGTGTGTGTGGGTGTGTGTGTGTGTGTGTGTGTGTGTGTGTGTGTGTGTGTGTGTGTGTGTGCGTGTGCGACATGTATGTCTTTATGTGCAAATCAATGTGTGAGAGTGTGGGAGGATAAAACTGACTGTGGGGGTACATTTGCATGTGTTTCTGTCTGTGTGTGTGTGAGTGAGTGACAGTGTGCGCATGTAAGTGTAAGCACATGTGCAGCAATGTTTAATTAAAGCATGTGTTCTCCTCCTTCCCTCATACACCGGTCAGATGGAGCCTTAATTAAGGAATGCTGTTAATTAGACAAGAGAGAAAGTGAGAATGGGAGAGAAGACAGGGAGGGAGGGAGGGAGGGAGCGGGTGAGGGGGTTAAAGAAAGTACATGTTGTGTTTTTGTGTGTGTGTGTCCCAGTTGTGTCATTCCTCAGAGAAGCAAATGTTGGTCTGCTCCGTGTGTGCAGCTCTTAACTCTACTACAGCAAAACTCTCACACGCCCCCTCCTTCTTCCCCCCCTCGGTTTCCTCCCCTCCTCTCGCCTTAACTTTTTCCTCCCTCCTTTGCCTCTCTTAAATCTGTCTGGCTCTGTCTCTCCCTCCACTCACCACCCTTTCTCTGTCTCAGTCACATCTTTACCCTCCCTATACACTTCTTCTGTCTCTCGCCCTCTTTCATACTTTCTCACACATTCATGCTCTTATTCATGTGCCTTCCCTCCTTATCCCCCTCTTTCTCTTTCTGTCTCCCGCTCTCTGTTCTCCCTCCCTCCTAATCAGAGCCATATGTTGGAGAGGGAGGGAGGCAGAGCGATCTGAGGATGAACAGGATTGTGTTGTATGTGGTACAGTGTTGGAGCCAGCAGTGCGTGTATATGCGTGCAAGTGTGGCACGCACTCTTGTATTTCTGTTTTAAATGTGAGTCACGTGTTAATGTAAAAAGCACGTGTGGTCCAGATTTGGTAAGACTTGTGTGTGTGTTCTTCTGGCAGACTTTCCTTCAATTTCTGCTCTGCTCTGGGTTTCTATAATCCCTCTATAGTCGCTGTCTTCCTGTCACCTCTCCATCCTCTCAACACCTCTCTCCATCACCTCTCTGCCTCCCCCTGGTGGCTGCCATTATTCACACATTCTCATTTTTGTTGCACCCTCCAAGTCTAGAGCTTTGTGATGCATTTCAATCGTTTTTTGTCACGTGGCATGCAGTGTGTGCTTTTTACACCACTATTCAATTGGGGAATTTGACTCTGCCCACTTCAATATTGTGCGTTTAAAAAAAAATGTGGGGCAAATCTGTCATTCCCATACATAATACACAATATATTACTCCATATATCTCATCAAGTAGTTTTATATAGTGATTTATAGACTAGATAACGTCGCACTGGCTCACACGTGTTCCTATTGTCTGCGGGTAAAACACAGCTGAATTGCTAACAATAATTAGAGTTTTACGCTTTATTGCAAGTCATCCTCCAAAGTAATAGCGTCTGATGTTGGATGGTGCAGCCCTCACCAAAATACTGATTTTAGTCTGGTTTGATATATACTGTGACATCATGTACTAATCTCTTATTCTCTTTTTCTTTCTGCTCCACCCTCCTCCTCACTCCTCAATTTGTCTTGTATTTCCCCAATCATCATTTCTCCCACTTTCTCTAACTCCCCTCTCACTTCCTTTGTCTGTCTGCCTGTATTTCCGTGTCTGTGTGTCTGTCTGTCTGCCTGTCTGTCTCTCACTCTATTAACCACGGGCAAAGTACAGGCAGAGGGGAGAGAGAAGTATGTGAGCTCTCCACTGCAGTATTGATGACCCAATGATCCCCTGCAGAACAGAGCCAGTCAGGCAGACAGAGTGAGGCTCAACTCAGAATCAAAATCAGAATCAGCGCCACAACCATTCGGTAAAAGCAACTGATTGTGCCGGGTATGAATGGTAAATGTAATCTAATGTTGTAATGCCTCTGTGTGGGTGGCACAGTTAATAGATTAGAGTGCGTTACGAATTAGGTGTGTGGCCCGTTGCCAAGAAATCTTTCACATAATCACAATTTCATCAGTGTTGCAAATGTTTGCCATACAATGACCAATGCAACAAGGAAATGTTAACGTATTTGTGGACTTCCTGTGCTTTTATTAATATTATTTTCTCTAATAATCTATTATAATATAATATTTTGATATATGTTTTTATTTCTCTCCTCAGGGCCATTGAATCAACTCTCCTGTTGTTAGAACTACTCCTTCAGCGACCAAGAAGAAACACTGATTTTGATTCAGCAAGACTGTTCACTGAATGAGTAGCGTGTCAGATCACCTACATTCAGGCCAAACTGGGGCTCCAGTGGGCTGTGGTGAGACTCGAGCAGAGGAAAAAGCGTGTGTGGGGGGGCTGGAGGGAATGGCCGGGCCTGAGCTCTGGACCAGGGAGCTCGGGCTCCAGGAGGGGTCCCAGGATCCCTCTAACGATGGACTGGCATCGGTGACTCCGGACCACTTTCCCTCCTCTCCTTCCGCCCTGGCCAACGGCCTCCACCGGAAGGGAAGGCTGGGGCACAGCCGGCGCAAAAAGACTGACACTCACCCTGAGACACATATGTTGGCAGAGACACTTAGAAACATGCAAACGCACATAGACACGGCTGTGCATGAAAAGGTTGTTTCGCATGCAGGCATGGATAACTGTGGGCACCTGGATATCCATCCACATAAGGGTTCTGTAGGTCCAAAGCTCTCCGGAACTCTTACACCTGACGCCATACGCACAACTTCACCTCAACCCCTGCCTGTGGCACTTGGCAATCATCCTGCCTCGACCAATCAACGGAAAGCCCCGGTCCTCAATGCAGAGACTGAAAATCCCTCCACTTTTTGTCCAGTCCCTGTTGGCCCCACCCCAAACACAGGGTCCTCTGCTCTTCCTGTGGAGACAGAGAAGAAGTATGCACTCCGCAGCTCCGGACGTCCACGCTTCCCCTGTCACCTGCGCAAATCCTCCCGCCTCCGCCGAGGCATGGAGGATGGGGAGAAAAGAGCAGGGAGGGAGAGGGGAGGAGAGGAGGAGGATGAAGTGTTAGAGGAGAAGATCTGGAGGGTTAAAGAGGAGGAGGTAGCTGTTGGAAAGAAGGAAGTGCATTCGTCTGTGGAGGCTGTTCTCCCCACAGCTCCCCCTCCTACAGACATTCCTATTGCTCTAACTGTACCCAAACCTGCTCCTAAAGCTGTACCCAAACCTGGGCCCAGACTTGGGCATAAACCTGGACCTAAATCCAGGTCTAGGCCCCCACCAAAAGTCCAGAAAGCAGCTCCTAAAAGTGTGAAACAGCGTCAGGCAGCCATGGCTCAACGTGCAGCTGCTCAGCTTCCATTTACGAACACATCAACCATCGCTGCAGCTTCACTAGCCGTGAAGCAGGAACCTCTCCCCGATTTGGGGGGATCAGGCTCCAATAACCGAAGACGTGGGCGTTTCGTAGGTGTAAGTTCATTCATAGTTACTACTTGACACGCATTCATAGCATGTGTCAAAAAGATATTTACACAAGTTAAATGACGGCATATGTTAAATGTTGATCTCTGCTTTACAGGTGAGGAAGATTGTTGTCAAGGTGGCTCGTATTCCCGTTAACCTCAGCCGCCGACAGAAGAGCTACAAGATTTCCAATATGGAGACAGTGAGAGATAAAAACAACGACTGCGGCGTGGATGGCACAGAGGTGGCTCGAGAACCGACCGCACTTCTCCGAATGAAGAACAATGGAAAGAGCGTTATGGTGATGTTTCCTCCCGGAGAGATGCCTGTTATTCTCAAGCGAAGGCGGGGGCGACCCCCTAAACAGCCCCCGCCAGGAATACCGGCAGAACTTCTCAACACCCCGAACGCTGGTGGTATAGGAGACCCGCCCAAGAAGCCCCAGAGGCGGCGACGGACTAAACTCCCTGCCCCTTACCCTTCCTATGTTAATGATACTAATGATGTGAAAACAGAATATGGGGATGTCCTGTCCAAACTGGCCTTTTTGAACCGCCAGCCCCCTGCCACTGGCCGCTGCTCTCCCCCCCGCTGCTGGACACCCAGTGAGCCAGAAAGCTTTCATACCCCTCTGGAAAACCCTGGAATATCAACCTTGCTCCACCGGCTCACCGGCTATAAACGCCCCCGAGGTGGCAGAGGAGGGGGCGCTGGGAGAGGGGGAGGAGGAGCAGGGGGGGTTGGGGGGAATGAGCGCAACAAGAGCACCTTCAGTGACTTTTTTGAATCTATTGGCAAGAATCAGAAAATGAGCCCCCTGTCTGAGCATGGATTACCCAAGAAAAGGGGAAAGGGTAGGGGAGGGGGCGCCGTAGGAAGTGATCCTGGGGCGGAGAAAACAGTTAAGAGGAGACGTGTGAAAAAAAATGGGGCATGTAAAGGGGAGGGAATGTCCATGGGGCAGGAGTGGCCCAATGGAGCAGGTGGCTGGGGGGAGGGGGGTATGGACAAGGAGAAAGCTCTGGGTGGGTATCAGTTCTGTGGATCTCCAAGAAGAGGCTTTTCCTCCTGTGAGGTTGGAAGGGGAGGGTCCTACAGCAGCCCGGGAGGGGGCAGGGGGGTGGGGCCTGCAGGGGAGGACTCACAGGGCCTGTTTGCCGGATATTTCCGGTCCCTCCTCGACTCGGACGACTCGTCAGACCTGCTGGACATTGCCTCCTCGCAGTCAGACCCCCGGAAAGCTTCATCCACCCCTGGTTACGAGTCATCCAGTCCAGCTACCAGCCACAGCTGGTCCCCTGCATTCCCCAAGTGGAGCTCCAAGGGGGCAAATTCTGGGGTGGAGGGTTCCCTGCACACACATGGCTCCTCAGCAAGGCCTCCTCACAGCTATGGCAGCCTGGCCCAAACTTCCCCCACCACTTCTACCTATCCCAAATCCACTCCTCCATCTCTCTCACACTCGCCCAGCTCACCCCATCCTTCCTCTTTTGGCCATTACTCCTCCGGCTACTCCTCCTCTTCTCCTGCGGTGCCACAGAGACCCTCAGACTGCAGCTTTGCATATGGATCTGGCAAGGCTGTCGGTCAAATGGGTTACTCTAACTACCAGGCAGCAGCCAAGAGAGGTTATGGTGGATATCCTGCAGCAGGTCATTCCTCCATGGTGCGGGGGGAGTCAACAGGACCCACATCACCAGGAGGAGGGTACATGTCTGTGGCCAAAAGCAGCCCCTTCAGCTCCTCTTCATCTCCAGAGGGTTACAAACAGTACAACTCCAGTCAGTGGAGCTACAGGTAAATCACTTGTGCCGCCTGACATCATAAAAAAGTGCTCCAAAAATAATACAGGTAATGTCTATTAAAGGACATTTCTGTGTGGTCTTTTCAATCATGATATAACTTGGTGTTGAAGAGAGAAATGTTTTTACTAACGAATTAAAGTCACAGCAAGCTCAAGAAGACTTGAATTACTTAGCATGTCCACCATGTGCTAATTACCAGTCAATACCTCACATAAGTAACTAAAGTGAATATATTTTGGCTTAAAAGTGTACCGTGTTTGTCAGGGAAGGAATTTATACAGGGCTGCAACAAATCATCATTTGTATTAAAGCTTATTGTGCTTATTATTTTCTGGGTAAATTGTTCGATTGATAAATGTCAGAAAATAGTAAAAGATGTTCAAAGTCCCAAAGATGTCACTTTTAATATTAGGTTAAACACAGAAAAGGACATTTCAATATAAAAGACACTTGAAAACAACATTCTTTGCTATTCATCATGAAGAAATTACTAACAATTATTACATTTTTTAAGTAGTTTTTTTTTTTTGTTAATCAACAAGTTAGTCAACTAAACATTATAACTCTAAATCGATATTAGTAACATGTTTAAATCGTCTTTTCATGTCATCTTACTGATCGTTGGAACTGCAAGAGCAGTGAAAACTGAAATATTTGCAGACAATCGTGCAAACATATTCCTCGAGTGTGTTTGTGTGTTTTATAATTCGTGTTGCTTTTTTTTCTTTTTCAGACAAGGTTATGGCGCCTGGTCAACAGACGGCTTTGGGCCTCAGTATCACGGCTACAGTGAATATGGCTCCAATGAGTCCAAAGACATCTTGGATATCTCAAACTACACTCCCCAGAAGGCCAAGCGACAACCATTTCCTGAAATTCTCTCAGAATCCTCGTCCGACTCTTCACACCTTGGCTCTGCGGCCACTGGCAGTGGACCCAGCTCCACCTGTGGCACCTACAAACTGAGCGAGGCTCCCTCTGTCAGCGGAGAGGGGGGGCAATCCAGTCTGTCCAGCCTGGAGAAGCTGATGATGGATTGGCATGAGAGTGCTTCAGGACCTTCGTATAACTGGAGCCAGAACGTGCTCTTTCAGGGCGGGGGGGCCACCGGCAAACCTGCTCGTGGTCGAAGGAAACGGACTGAACCACTTTTAGAAAAAGAAGGAGGGTCTGGTTTACTCTCCGACTCCCCGTCCAGCCCGTCCCCAACGCCTACTCCTGGACCTAAGCGGGGAGTTGGGGGACGGGGCAGAGGGTCCAGAGGAGGCAGAGGGGGTTTGTCTCCATGTCAGAGAGAGCGGAGGGCCAAAGGCAGAGGCAAGGCTGCTGCCTCAACATCTGGAGCAGTTTCTGCTGGAGGTCCAGAGGGGCTGTTCCAGGAGGGGCTGGATTATTACAGTGGAGACAGTAGCAGCCTCTCTCCCCTGGCCAACCCCAATCATGCACCCCAATCCAGTTACCTCCAGGACCCCTGTGAGTACCCCTCCCCTTACCCCTCCACACCCTCCTCTGAAGAGCGATATCCAGCCTTATACCCTGGAGAGTCCTCTTCTTCCCTCTCACCCAGTGTCTCCTCTCCCTCTTACCCTCCCAAGCCAACACCTCCTCCCCCCCAGACGTACCACCCCGTCCCCTCCAGGACATTCTCCCCCTCCTGCTCTCCCTCACCCCGCGTAACTCCCCTCTGTGCCACTTCACTGAGTCCCTCTCAACGCCCCGCTCAGAAAGACCCACAGTTCTCGCAGTACGACTCTCCCAGCTACTGCAGCTCTCCCTACTGGTACGGACAGACGTCGCACAGCGGCAGCCCCAGCCCGCACTCCCACAACACACACTCAAACACAGGCGCACACAACACACACTCAAACACCGGCGCACACAACACACACTCAAACACACACAGCAACCCGCACACAAGCCCCCATGGAAGTACACACGGTAATACGCTCGCTAGCCCCAATGCGAACACACAAATGAATCCCCATGACACACATCTTAACAATACACAGCCCCACACAAACTTAAACACCAATACCCCCTCCCTCCTCCAGTCCCACTCAAACCCCCACACTAACAACCACCCCCACCCCAACTCTCACCTCTCCTCCCATACTCACTCCAACCCCAGCACCAGCCTACGCCAGGGCCCCATGCCTCACTCCCCGTACCCCAAACTGGCCCTGGACTCCTCGCCCCATCAGGAGGACACTGGGGGCTTCTCCTTGTCCCACCAATCCTATCCGGGCATGGGACACCGCTACCCCTCCCAAGCAGCTCAAGGGGGGGGGGTGCTGTGCCAGCTCCTGGACACAGCCAATGATGACAGCTTCAGCGTCACCAGCCTGTAACAGCAGGTGAGTTTATTTAACCTTCACGAGGCCATCCATGCAATAAAGACAAACACTAATAGAAATATCAAGAGTGTTTGATAACTGAAGAGTACCATACTTTTTCATTATTTGATATTTAATTAATAAATAAATATCTAGTAATGGTCAGCGTTACAATTTGGTGTATCTATTTTTGATTAATTGATTCATTTGTGAACTCTTTTTTCACATGATTGTTTAAAAAGCATTATTACTAGTTGTAATTAGAAAAACTTTTTAAAAGTTTTTTTTTTTATGGAAGTGGAAAGTCTGTAAACTCTTAGGCTGAAGCACAAATACGTAGATCAATAGAAATGGAAACAGCAACAACACCACAGGGCAAATTACTTTTAACACCAAATCAAACTACAATCCACAAATGGAACCAAAATCTTACTTACAGTAAAGAACGTTTGCCAAGTAAAATAATATTAAGATTAAAGAATGCTTTCATTTTACTACTGTCAAAAATATCACTCTATTCTTCTTCACCTCTTTATCTCTCCCCTCTCTCCTTGTGTTTTCATTTCAGGTGCATTCAAACCAAGCTTTTTCAGATTTGCAAATTTTCTTTTCTTCTTTTTTGTTAAGGAGACTTTTTGTTAGAGAATGTGAAATGAAGGGCGAGAATTTAGCTGCCAGCTTTGGACAGTAAAGCTTTAATTCTCCAGCATTGACAATCAAGATCAACTGCAATTTAAACACGCATGCACGACACACACACACACACACACACACACGCACACACACACACACACACACACACACACACACACACACACACACACACACACACACACACACACACACACACACACACACACACACACACACACACACACACACACACACAGAAAAGCATGTGCAGATGAATTCACTACCTATACATGGACACATACATTCCTACATGTGAACACTCACTCACACCCTATGCTGGAGTACGGGAATGGCCAAGATGAAAACCAGATGCTGATGGACAGAGACAAACCTTTTTCCTCACCCCTTCAAGTCCTGTTGTGATTCATAAACAACTCTATTTCCCATAAGTCTGTATCCCTCCGCAAATCTTTCTGGTCCTGTTCTTTACATCTGCAACACTCTCCCTTCTTTTTCTGTCCTCTTTTTTCAACCCCCTGTCCTCAGCTAAACCAGCAACTGTTCTGCACTACACTGACCCTGCATTTCTGTCTTGTGCCCTCGCCTGAACCGCATCTGAGCCCAAACCAACTTTTGAAATACCATGAGCCTAGCAAATGTCCCGCTCTGTGCACTCCTTGTGTTGTGTCCCATGAGAGAAAAGTGGACTAAAGCGCTCTCTGCTTTTGAAATACCAGCATCTGTACATATGACTCCAGCTCCAAGCCAGAGGCCCCCTGATCACTCCGAGGGTCCGCCATCCACATGCCCTCCCCAGCGTTCTGCCATGGTTTCTCTGCTCTGGGGAGGGGGAGAGAGAACTGCAGCATGGAGACCCAACATCCTGTGTTTTGCTGTTTTAACTACAAGGGAAAGAGACATCAAAATCACACACCGGCCCCAAAGAGACTTGTTTTTCTGTGTGCAAACGTGAGACAGAGGAGGGTGTGTTTTTGCGTGAATGCAGTGATGCATGTATTTGTGTGTATGTGTGCATTTATGTTTGTGTGAGCGTGTGTGTGTGGGGTCAAAAGGAGTGAAGCTCTCCAGACACCAAAAGTCTTGGCGGGGTCTCATTCTTTCTTTCACTCTCTCCCTTCTTTTTTCTGTGGTCTTGTGTTGTTTGGTGGTTTTTGTGATGAAAAAAAATGTATATCTGTCTGTTACATATCATGTATGTATCTGAGGTGCAAAATATTTAAATACACATTCTGTTCTTGCCATTGGTAATCTTGTCGATTGCAGACTGCTTCTTTAAGGGATTATGGGAGGTGTGAGCGTGGCTGTGTGTGTTTGGGCTTTGCCCAGGCTGTCTGGGTCTGCGCGAGAGAGAGAGGGTTCAGGCAAGGACACGATTCGACAGGGAGGGAAAGGGAGGGGAGGAGAGGAATAGATGGTGGAGAGAGGAGGATGTGTTTGAGGGGAAAGAAAGAAACCAGACTTAGGAAATCAGGAAAGAGTGTCAGAGATGTTGCCACTGAAACAAAATGTACAAAAAAGTACTGTTTCAACATTCCTCATCCAAATAAGGGAATAGCGTAACGGCGTAAAGGCTGGTGGTACCAGAGAGCTGACAGGAAGGGAACCCACGCTCATTTCATGTCCTCACAGGAATACTTGCTATAATAGAACAAACATTATACATCTGCAGCTTGTGTGTGCGTGTGTGCGTGTGTGTGTGTGCCAGACAGACAGAGAGAGTGTGAGAGAAAGGAAACAGATGGGGGGAGTTTACAGGCTGCATTTTGTGTACAGTTTGTCAACAGGCTGACTAAATAGACTAAGACATGGCCGCAGGAAATGTGTTTGCTGTGACATTCCTCTGTATGTGGAAGGAAACACATACTGTAACGCTACATGACAGACAGAGAGGAAGTGCATGCAGCTCTTTCAGACTTTTCTTTTGCACTATACCAAAATAACAGCATCTCATTTAAATTAGCCACATTAACCAAATTAGCCATCTAAAACCCACATTTTCCTCATTTTATAGGATGCCATTACCTGTAAGGATTCTCAATGGTCAGCAGTATTCTAAGTAAAATGTCCTACAATAACATTTGTATTATCACAGAAATGTACTAAAAACACTTTAAAGGTTTGTTATACAGCAGAATTCTCCCTGTCAGTTTTATTCTTATTATTTATTGCTGATCAATAACATTTAGGTATCGGTTTAATGTCGCTGGTCAAGAGGGAGCAAATATTAAAAACGTTATGTTCTGTTGTTATAAAACCATGTTTCCTATTTTATAAACGTATTATTGGTTTGGAAGCCTGTGTTAAATGTGAATATCCTAAGTTAGTAGGTCTAGCTGTAAAATAAGGACTAATATTTCCAAACATCTCAAAACTGTAGCAACTTTAAGAACAGTAGTCTAATAAAGTAAAAGTAGCCTACATAGTTAAAATAATTGTGTATTAGCCACAGAGTGTTAGTTTATTTAACAAAAGTAGCCTATAATAATAAGTAGCCTAAACGCAAAATAGACAAAAATAAGTACTGAACTGAAAGCTATTTATTTCATAAATAACATGACTTATTCAAATAGGCTACTATTGATAATAATATAATCAAATTAAATAGGAGATATTACAGTCACCGCTTATTCTTGTGGAAAGCTATGCGTCGCTTAGCAACAACTTTAGCAACCGTTCTTAAATATTTATGCGGAAAACTATCAATCAATCATTCACCATGACTAGTCTACTGTCTCCGAACTTTAGTCTCTTTAGTTTAACCCATAAAATACACTTATATATTGCTTTAGCAACATTTAACGTTGTTGACCTGTTTTCCCATATGACCGAGTAAAGTTGATTTTAAACTGTAGGCCCGAGTTATTTATGGCCTAAAATAAAGCAGTCACTGTGTCAATAAGGCCACCGTTGACCGAGGAATGCGCTTCGTCATCACAACTTTCCCCTGGGGGTAAAAGAAGAAGAAGAAGGAGGTCTGGCAGGAAAGAAAGAGGAGTGGTGTTCTCCTCAGCAGGGACTTTCCTTTGCTTGCCCTCCGGTAAAAAAGAGTTGAGTCACAGGGCACCGAGCCGGAGATGTTCCCCGGCGTCGCCACGGAGGAGGAATGTGGGCCTGTGCGCGGTGGTGCTGGGGCTGCGGTGGTCTTCCCCTCCGCTCGGGAATACTTCTTCTATTAATCCCTCCTTTTATCCTCGCACTCCAACTCATGGTAGTCGGGCCACTGTTGCCTGCAGCCCGGGGGGAGGGGGTGGTGGAGCCGCAGGAGTTCGCCTTCTCCGTTATCAGCATCGAACCGGAGAGGAACCCACGTCCACGGGGATCCCCGTCCCTGCGTCCGGGCCTACAGGAGGAGGATGCGGAGAGAAAGGAGGGGGAACAGGCGTATGAGGATGAAAACGAGATGCATTCACGCCAGGTAGGTGGAGAGATACATCTGACATATAATCAGTGCTGTAACTTAGGCCTACTATGTTCATTTACTCAAGTCCTACTGTAGCCTACTTAAATACAATGTTCAGGTAGCCTACTTTACTTCAGTATTTTTCAATTGTTGGCTACTTTGTAGGCTACTTCTACCCCACTACTTGATTTGAGGACTTTTACATAGTATTGTAGTGCCTACAATATAAGGTGAAGATTTACTCAAACAACTGCCATGTTGCTTACCTTCACGCTAATTAAACGTAATTGCACTAAATGCACTGAATGTGAACTGAAAGTAAGCAGGGGACACATTAAAAAGAATACCCTGCAGCTCTTTGTGCAGCTTTTTGCAGCTCTGTGAAACAGGTGAGGACAGCACTGACCCCAGATCAGAGGTGACAGCTGTTCTCTCTTTCTGTCTTTTCTCCTTTAGTTGCATAAAGCTCCAACTCTCGTGTGTGTGTGTGTGTGTGTGTGTGTGTGTGTGTGTGTGTGTGTGTGTGTGTGTGTGTGTGTGTGTGTGTGTGTGTGTGTGTGTGTGTGTGTGTGTGTGTGTGTGTGTGTGTGTGTGTGTGTGTGTGTGTGTGTGTGTGTGTGTGTGTGTGTGTGTGTGTGTGTGTGTGTGTGTGTGTGTGTGTGTGTGTGTGTGTGTGTGTGTGTGTGTGTGTGTGTGTGTGTGTGTGCACGCATCTGTCCTATACCTGACACTCTTTTCCTTCACTCGTCATCCCCTCTCTCTTTCATTCTCTTTTCTCTCACTGTCTGTTTTTCTGCCCAAGGCTAAACTCTCTGACTCATTCTTGAATCATCACCCCCCCCCCACTACCCATCGAGGTTGCCATGGTGACCACAGGGTTCAGTCTGAGTTGGGTGGGGGGCTCTTTGTGAGTGTGTTTGTATGTTACACTGCCTCAGGAAAATATGTAACCACAGCAGGTCTGAGGTCAGAGGCTGTGACCTTCCTCCTCTGCACTCATACCTGGGGCAGAGGGTGTAGGCAGCAGCAGAGACCCACTCACACACATTACTGTCATTCATATTCATTATTCAGAACGCTTTACAAATTCCCATGCATCTGTTGGTAATATCAATATATTGATACCATGTATGTGCAAATTTTCCCAGACTGGACCCAGAAAGCTGGATCTGCAAGCGTGGGCATCAGACGAGCCGTCCTTCACTGCAGAGCTCAATCGCATCATCACATTCATCACCAGGCCACAGGTAGACTGCACAGAACATCACCTCAAATACTGCTGCGCTGTCAATGTGTGAAATTTCCAAATGCACTTTAAAGGTTCCTACAATACCTAACACAATTTGAAAAAAAAAGTATTCACTGTACATGGCATATTTTTCCTGTTTTTTTAACATTTCATGATACTTTACTGACTGCAGAATAATAAGCAAGCAAGCAAAACTTTATTTATTAAGAACATCGAGGTGCACAGTGTGCTGCACAGTTTGTGAGATACTTTACCATAGAAGTTGCAGCCAGAATAAAACATATTGTAAAAAATAAAACCTTAGAGATAAATTATTTTAAAAGCCACATAAATAATACAAGTGAGTAAACCTTTAAAACCTTAAAGAAGATAATAATTTAAACCAATAGTTGACCAATACAAAAATACAAAATTAAAACCAATAAAATAAGTGTAAATAAAATAAAATGTA